TTACAAACAAACTATTTACTAAAAATATAAGTACATAACCTCCAAATTAATTACTTAGACAAAACCCATAAGGTCACTTCTGTACTCTATCTACAAACTATGCCATGCCTAAAAATTATTCAGAAATACATATCACTGAAAAAACTTCAATTCGTTAAAATATTTGTCTTGTCTATTATGCCCACAAACATGTACCATGTACCATGGATATAGCCAAACGTTAATAAAATTTACAGAAAATCAAAATTTTCAGAAGGGAGTGTATCCTCGCCGACCATGTACAACATAATATTTCTTTTCCAAAAGTATTGAAATGTTGTCTAAAACACAGCACCTCCTATATAAACAAGTCTGGCTAAAAGTGTACAGGTAAAAATCGAGAGAAAAGCCTCTTTATACCAGTTTTCATAAAACTTGTATAGTTCACATACATTTGATATAAATCTTTTTGTATGTGGAGTATTGTTTTAACGTATTTTAAATAAGACAGTAAAACACGCAGAGCCCAAAGTCTCCACGAGAATAACATACTACATTTTCAGAAATGTTCGTTGTCGAATCGACACACACATCAAACACACTCCTGGATTAAAAAGAATGATTTTTAAGTCAACTTGCATCGACGGGATGTGATGACTAACTTTTGTTATGTTATCTTGTGTTTTAACTTCGAGTTGTATGCCTGTCTAAACTCAGTATCCATAACATGACAACCCGCGGTCAAATATCAGAGGAAGATTATTTTGATAGTACTAACATCTTTCATTGACGAATAAAAATCTGTATTAATTGCAATGAAGTGGTAACAACTATGTAAAAACGTTCCCCGGCAATGAAATCGAATTGAGGTTAAAAATTATCCAGTGATTAAACTTGCTTGTCAACATAAGAAGACTTCGAAACTGTTAAATGGTTTACTTGGAAGTCTTTTTTTAATATCAAGCCTCACCTAAACCCCGCCAACTCGTGCATTCTAAACCTGTCTCTTATATGTGGCCTAACATCATCTTTACGGTTGGCGATCATTTCTAAGAAAGGTAGAAGTTCTAGCAGCTCTCTGTCGGTCTGATCGACAAACCAACTTTCAATTGGAATGCCATTGAAAATCTGGTAGGCGAACGCCTGTGGAGAATTGTCTACAATCATGGTTTTGGCCAAATCCCGGCCAAGAATGTTCAAATCTTTGATGTAGTTACCTTGAACACAGACGCAGTGTTCACGAAAGAGGCGATGTCGAAAATATTTCCGTGTAGGATCCAAAATGTTCAGTAGCTTGTCTGCATAAACTTTTTTGGAAGCGGTGAAGAGGATAACCTCGAACATGCTGGCCACTCTTTCGAGAAAGCGCTTTAAATGTGGTCTTGTACGCACAAACACTTGATAACAGATATCTTGATAGAGCACGGGAAAAGTCAAATTGGCATCCTCTAGCTTGTTAAGGCTACAGTGAACCAAAGTTTCGTCGAGATCAAGAACGAGACAGAATTCTGGAGTGCTTCGAGTCTGTAACGGTAAAACTGGCCCACGGCTTTTCGCGTCTTCACCTTCTTCAGGTGGGGGAAGGTTGCGGATGAAATAAAACGGATCGTAAACGTCCCACTCAGCATCTGCAGACTCAGGGACATCATCTTCAACATTGCCGTTGACATCTCCATTGGTGGCAGCTAAAGCGCCTCTGTTCACGATAGAAGCGCCAGCGTTCTCTTCGTTTACACCGCCATTGCTCGCGCCACAAATCCGAGACCCGTTAGATAAAGGCGAAGCTTCTTTACCTACTGGTTGAATGTGGCCGTTCTTCCCAAACAGCGTAAAAACCGGCGAAAACAAAGTTCCCAAAAGAGATTTACGCTTCGATTGCTCCCCATCGGGAAGGCACTTCGTAGTAACCGAATTTACAACCGTTGTCTCGGTAGTAAATTTTCGCTTCTTGAGCAGGTTTGATGTTATGATTGCATCTTCTTCGTCTTCACTTTCGGAGTCCGATCGTTTGCGTTTCGAAGGACGATCATTCTCGCTATCCTTTGACGGCGACCAAAGGAACGTTTTGATTGAGTTCAGCAGATTTATTCCCGAAGAATTCGCGGGGCTTTCACCGGTGTCGCGCTCACTAGTTTCGCTGCTTGCTGCGTCCATAAGCTTATTTTGTCGATTCTTCAATTCGTCTTTCAGTGGTGGCATCACTCCCCACATCCGCCAGCCGTTATCTTTGGGAATGCAGGAGATTTAGGTTGATAGTCCCCAGAATAAACACTAACGCTGAAAAGAATCGAAAAGCCTTTGGTTCACGCAAGACCGCTCACCCAAAAATTTTATACAGAGTGTGGTGAGCATCGTAAACTAATCTGCCCCAGTGACAACCTCCGACACGGCGTTTCGGTTGAATGCACACTTCATGCAAATGTCAGGTAAACAACTCCAATATTTGCATACAACTCAATTTCGCGCGCTTGACTCACAAAAGATCCCTAAAATACAGTTTTGTATTAAAATTTACACCTATTCACCTTATAAATACATAACAGCGGGAAACTCCCCTGGACAATTCTGTATTTTATATTTTCTATTTTGGAAGAAGAAAGAAATTCTCGGATATATTTTTCGACAACTTGGGGCACACGTGGTTTGGGAGGACTCTCACGCTGTAAACAAAGAGTCCTTTCTCCAGATAAGTTGTTACTTTTTTACCTTCTTTATATTTAATCTGACCCCTTAAATAAAATAATATTTATAATAAAAAAAAAATTAAAATATGGAGTTCACTTTGTCACCTAAACTAAAATAATCCGTACTGAGTGGTTAGAAAAATATGATGGAATTAGATTTCGTGGTGTAAAATTCTAGCGCAGCTATCAAATTGTTAGTTTCGCGAGGAAAATACAAAATTTAATGCACAGTATAAGAAACAAGCGTGAATGATTTGCTTCAATTAAATTTCGGTGCAAAGTCCATTCCAGACACGAGCAAAGTGTTGTTATACGACTGACGAGTCTGAAAGCCAATCAAAATCAACCCCAAATGTTAGCACCAATCAACGCAAAACAGAAGCGTTAAAAAAAAAATAAAAGTAAAAAAAACACAAACAAAAAAAGAAAAATAAAAAAAAAATAGAGACATGTCACTGCGAGTAGGTGGGGTGGGTTCTTTGGGGGGAGGGGGTTGTTGTGGTGGGGGTGGGGGGGGAGGGGGGGGGGGGGGGGGGGGGGGGGGGGGGGGGGGGGGGGCTATTCACATCATAAATTCTGCCTAGGTAATGGAGGATGATCCGCAGCTCACAAAACCTTCCTTAGTGGTTAAGAGATAGTTCAGATTTAGCAGATTATTTGTTTCTTGCTGAGCTATAGCTGGGCATAGGTATCTTATCTGAGGTTCACACATAATAATAATATGATAATAATAATAATAGTAATAACAATAATATTAAATTTTTTTTTAAATAAAAATAATAACTTTATTCGTAGATTCAAAAAAATGGACTATTTACAGATTCAAGAATATGAATATTAAAATATATACCCTATGTACATTCTAATAATAATAATAATAATGGCTTGTTAACAGTGTATCCACCTAGTGGCTCTTCACCTGTTAAAAACTACAATATAAAAAATGAAAAACTATAATATACTACAAAAAAAATTTGAATTGAAATCTACAATATAAAAAGCAAAAATATCGGACTATAAAAGGATATTGTATTGTGGACCACAATGCCTTTAAACGGAGAAATGATACCCTCCCTAAGGATCGTGACCTTAAAAAACCATACCCTATCGAGCGGCACATGCCGATAAAGCCCAGGGGCCCGTTTCTCGAAAGTCCCGATAATTAACGGGCCCGGTAAGCTGTCTCCGTTTACATTAAAGATCGAGGTTTCAATAGTTTTGCATCTAGAATGATAAAACTGTCAGTTAGTGAAGCAAAATGGAGTAGTTGGCTAGCCTGGACCCGCTCTCTTATTCTTTATATTTCGATTTGAATATTTTTTTTCGGGCCCGAAAAGTTACCGGGACTTTCCAGAAACGGGCCCCAGATACGAGACTACCCCCGCTCCGGGCCTCATATCTACTCCAGAGAGGCTACCCTTTACAATCAAGGCGTCTCGAGCTATTGTATAACGCAATCTCATGCTTTCAATTGGCTACTTGGTGGTCACATGACATCGAAATATGAAAGTAGTATTCCCCCCACAAAAGCTTCGAAGCGGGAAGCATTCTAGGATGTTACAGGGCATATAGGCATGGCTCGAGGCATAGAGGCACTTTTGTCCTCGACTCCTGCGACGTTTAACCGGACCCGAGAGAAGCCGGCGAGTAAGCTCACCATTTGGGAGAGTCGGGAGAGTAGAAGCACTCATTGTTGGTCTGCCTCTGGAACACTCTATTTCCTTCAGTCGTCTCTGTTAAAAATGGCAACTGGTCAATAATGAACCACGGGCCTCTTTATCAAAACGAAGCAAGTGCTCAGCCTTTGATATGAAACTGATTTTTCATTCTCATGCAAATGGAACTCTTTTCCACAAGAAAGGTTGTGCACTTGGCCTCATTTTGAAAGTGAGGGTTTTTGGAGCTCGGAAGTGGCCTATTAACCAAAATTTGCGGCGCAGAAGGCGATTTGTGTTTCAGATTTTAATGTAATAAAGGACAAAATTATTCCATTTCAGTGCCCGAAGGTTTCCAGTCTTGGGTGGTTTAAAATTGCGATTTACCTACCCTCTGGTTTAAAAGACGCAAGAGTTTTTGCCTAAGTTTGAAAAAGATAAAATTAAGAGAATTCTGACTCCTAGAATAGGAACTATGAGAATACCAATTAGGCGTTTTCGTGGTTGAGTTGAAAGATGGGCTATAGACGCTTTTGCACAGGCTATTTATTTTCATGCGATTTCAGCTAGCAGCGACTTTGAGGTGAATTATATCTACGAAATTGCTGTCATTTCAACGCGCTAGAGGTCTGATGTGTTTTATCAAAGTTTTCCCGCTCGCAAGTTTAAAGAAACGGCTATATTGGCGGCGAAATATTTACGTCAATCGCGCGTCGGCCGTGACCCCTGTAAAAAAAATTGTAAGAACATAAACCCCTACAAGATCGCAGCAAGAGAAACTCCAGTCTAACATAATGAACCTTCAAATATTGTAGAAAGATACAAGTTGCACACTCAGTCTCATAGTTCACGATATTTTATTGAAACCTTAACCCCAAAACCATAAAAACGTGTAAGTTAACAAGTTAATATTCTGGCTACAATCGCTACATCAGAAAAACAGACTCGCCTGACGCCTTTCTCTGCAATCTTCATTTGCGAATGCCAAGAAGATAAAGAACGAAAAATATTTAAAGAAAAACAACAACTGAAACTATCAATCAAAAAATATTTTCACTCCCTTCAGCTTTCGAAGTCCTATTGGGCTTAAAACAAATAATCAATTTTATATTGTCTGCTGGAATCTATTCTGCCAGACAATTAAGTTAAATAAGTTGCTTGAATTCCAATGCGTATACCTTGCCAGGAATCAGCCAGTACAACAACTAACCCACGTAAGCCCTGCCATTAACTTAACAATACGATTATCGGTTGTTTTGACGAATGAAATCGACTCAATCTGAATAACTGTCTAATAAAATTAACGTTTCTGGTATAAATTAATTTAAAATACTTCGTATGGTAATTTCAATGGCCTTATAACAAAATATTTTTTTTATATTTAGCAACTAATAACACAAAACAAATATAACTTTTGTACAGTTCTGTGGGCAAAACTGGGCGATTGCTCTACTGGCCTCTCTGGAATTGTCTGAAATATGGAGAAAGAAAGAAGTGTTACTCTTCAGTTATCTAACAAAATGAGACAGACAGGTACTTCTTTAATCTGTGGGTAGCCTGCATGACAGGCGTTATTTTTTGGCGTTGTTTAGGCGAGCTAAGAGCCCCAGATGTCACGCGTGTCTCGCGCTCCACGCCCGCTTCGCTCCTCCCTTCGCTTGCCTGAAAAACGCGGAAATATAACGCCTGCTATGCATGCTCATCTATGGGAAAATTCTGTGGTGCAACCATTCTAAAGAAACCCCGGCCTTTGGATCTGCTTTGTTACTCTTGGGGTAAAAGTCGACAAAAAAAACGGCTTTTAAAAAACAGAAATGAAGCCTCTTTCGTAGTACTTTAACCTGGAGATATTTGCAATTCAACAACAATTTACGAAAATATTAATTTGTTTTTATGCATATTTCGCTCTTAGAATGCGCAGGATTTAGAGCATTTTCTTCTTACCATTTTTGCTGTCCTCAGCACTTCTGGTGGAAGGAGTTCACCTTACAGACGGTCTTACCCTGGCCAGAATCACCACGGGCGCAGAAGCATTCCTTACAAGTGAACTGATCTCGTTTAATCTGCTCTCGCCACGTGCTCAAACTGGCTAGTTGCAAAGCTCCAAATTTATCCTTATTCTTCGAGCCCAAGAATGGCAATCCAAATACAGAACCTTGCGTTCCTTTCATCAGTGATACGTATTCGCCATCTGGGAGAGGAGCTGCGCCAGTACCCGTTTCCGGCTTCTTTCTGTAGAACACTCGTCCCCTGTAGTCTTGTCCAACCACCTCGCCACTGTACTTCCTGTACTTGCCAATAACGTTGAGAGTGATGTCTTTTGCCTCCAACAGTTTGCCCATACTGTCTACAGTAACGGCGTGAACCAATGCGCTGTGTTCTTTACTGGTCAGCAGTAAGAAGATCTTGGTTGCGGCTAAAGGACACAAACCATATTGGTTAATACAATGAAAGGCAGGAGGAAGGACCTGGGAGTTAAATAGAAGGGAACGCCATGTAAACAGGCTCTATCATAACCCGAGGCTCCTCTTTCTGCTAGATTATTTCAGGCCTGTAGGATGTAGAATTTGGATTAAAGAGACTGTTTTAACACAGCTCGCTGAATTTATGCACCTGCCAATTACTTGCGGTGAAACTTAACAAGAGAGTAGAGATTACTTCCAAATTACAAACTCAAAGCTTCATAATTCACAAGTTATATACAACAGTCTAAAATTAAAGTTTAATCTAAACAGTTTTCAAAACCACAACTGCAATGCGTGTAATTCTTAATAAATTATTGTCCATTCTTTCCTTTTGTACTTTAATGTGCCTTTACTGTTTTTGTTTGTTGATTTTGCAGTTCACTTATATTGACATGATGGCTAGCTCCTTGAAGCTGTTATCTGTCCTAATGTATTCCCCTACAACAGTCATGCGTGTTTTTTGACCTTACCTGGTCTGAATGGATACACGTATGCTGCCTTTGCCATAGCCTCCAAAGCATCTGCAGTGTCATTCTCAGACTCCTCGCCAGCGAATTTCAGATGTTCAAAAGCGCTATCCAAACTGTCTAAGTCATTCATCAGCTGACCGTTAAGAGTGATTGCATGCGGGCGCCCATGTGACAAGCGACCTCCAAAAGCCATAACGCCGAACTTGAAAGAATACTTGTAAGAGTCTAGAGCCTTGGTGATGCTGCCCAGTAAAGATGGTATCTTCTCTGCGTAAGCCTTAAGGACTGATGTCTCGTGCACTAACACTACAACATCAACCATGTTGTTTGCTCGCTGAAACCATCTCTTACCCATCGGGTTTGATCCGCAACGACCTACAAAAAGACAGTAATAGAGTTGATTAATTCCTGGCTTCCATATAAAACGTAGTTTATTTTATACGAGCTACCTATTCGAAATAGCTTTGAAATGTATTATATTCTATGATCTGTCATCCCTTATTGTGGGTCACTGAAAACGAAAATGACGGTGACTATCACTTATTCGCATCAAAAATACAGACACCTCTGTAGGACGGACACCTCCTTTCTTTACTTCGTTTATTTGACTCTATATTAGACGGACATGACTCTAATAGAGACACTAAGAGCCTCTTCCAAAGGTGTCTAACTCATTTGGTCAATTGTATGACCACTTTAACTTACCACATTCTGGCAAAAAGTCGGCCCATTCTCCTCGCATTCTAACCAGCTCGATGTAGGCGGCAGTCGTATTGCAGTGCTTCATGTCCTTGGGTGTACTGGTCTCACAATCCTTGTAATCTATTTCACAGGCCTTGACGAAAGGCTCGGGATTAACAACGGAAAAGTACCGATGGAGTGGTGACTTCTTGTCCTTGAACAGAGCGCGGCAACGTTGAATGTAGCTGGTCTCCTTACACTTGGGTTTTTCAGGAACAATAGAATGGATCTTGCATTCTGGATCACGTGTGATCTCCCAAGAATTGACGAATTCGGTCAGTTTCTTAGTTGGTTTGTTTTTAACTGTCATAAACTCATCATGGAACTCGTTATTGTTGGTTCCCAGGAGACCTAAAAAGAGATAAAACGATGTTGGCTTGGCAATTAGTCTTAGTCGAAGCGTAACAGCATGATTACAAAAAAGCCGTAAGGTTACAGCTAAGTACGTTCACCTGTCTCACTCCCCCCCCCCCCCCCCCCCCCCCCCCCCCCCCCCCCCCCCCCCCCTCCCCCCCCCCCCTTCCCACCCCCCCAAACCACGGGCTTAGAGCCGTTATTACAAAAAAGAAAGAAAAAAGGAGGATTAAAGGTGGGTTTTTTTACCCACCCTGTGTAAATCAAAATAGGGGGAATGGGGGAAAGGGTGAATGCGTTTTTTTTGTGTCCCACGATACCCAAAAACGGATAAAAGGTTGTTGGCTTGGCAATTTGGTTTAGTCCAGACGGAAAAGCCTTCTTAAAAAAAAGCCCGAAAGTTACAGCCAATTACGTTCCCCTCTCCCCCCCCCCCCCCCCCCCATTCCCCTGCCTCCCCTTCTCCCGCCTCCCCTTCTCCCGCCTCCCCTCTCCCTTCCATACCACGCTTCATAGCCCCCAGAAAGCAGGGCTTAGAGTCTGTATTACAACAAAGGATGACATATGGGATATATCAGTTGGTATCTTCGTAGCCAGCGTTGCTAACGTAATAGAGTGGAACGAGGGAAAGAGGAAACGCGAAGGGCAAAAATGAAAAGAGGTGCTCCATAAAAAAGTTTTTTATTTTTCGACTTTATTAATCAAAGAGACTAAACTGTCCAAATAACGAGGTCGTAATAGACATATTTACTCGTTTGGTTGCCCTTATATTTTCACTTGTATTTGTAAAAGAAGTGTGGACATTTGATCAATTGAGGTTTCTGAGAAAATGCCCACCTACCCCTCCACTAAGCTAACATTTTGCCCTACGTGACAAGCAAGTGTTACCTGCCATCCTGCCGTGGTACCATTTGGCAATGTTAAAGGTGCACAGATAATGTTCAACGTCACAAACAATCTCCAAGCCAAGATCATGTCGAAGGATAATGAAGGAACCTTCCCGCTGAACGGTGGTGTTGAGCGTTTCCACCGGGAGCTCACTGACGAAACCGTCACTTGTTTTCTTTCCGGACGTGGTAATCTGAAAACGGTAGATGATATACGTTTTTTCCACCCTCTTCCTTAAACAGTTCCTATAGTATTTATGAGGATAATTTATTTGACAATCAAAACCTTTTCGCTTGGTGATCACTTTTATTTTCTTACTACCTTTGTATTTGATTGAGCAGTGTAACTATGGAGAGAAATTGAATGTTGGGTGACTCTTGAGGTTTAAGGGTGGAGATAATGACTACGCAGTACAGACAAGAACTTGCTGCACCCTTTCTCTTCCTAAACTAAGTTTCTCGTCAAATCTTAATGGACCTGTACTTATTTTTCTGCACTACGCAAAATCCTTCGCAATGTCGTTGGTTTGCGACGGTGGTTTGAGAAAATGTCTAATTGCCTTTCGTCCATAGGGTGTGGTCCCCAGTATCGCGCATGAATAACTAATAACATTAAGTACATATTTAGTTGAATCTTTGATTTGACATGGTGCAAGTTTGCAAGATAAAGTTCAGTTGATCAATCTCTCACAGTACCAAATGTTTCTATACTAACCTTGACAATGGTCTCCACTCTTCCATCCTGGTATATCTTCACACTGGAGTCCTTCGTGACAACTAAGATGGCGGTCTCTTGACTCATGATGGTAAACTTATTATCACGAACGTCCCTTGCCAGCACATACATGCAANACGAACGTCCCTTGCCAGCACATACATGCAATTAGGCTTCTTATAACCAGGGAAGGTGTAATAGGTGCCGTCAAACGTGTACACATGAGGTCCTCCAAAGATCATGGCAGTGCCTGGAGCAAAAAAGAGCGGAAATATAGTTAATTTTCTGCAACAACAGTGGTTTAAGCCAAAAGTTCGGATATTTGACAATTATTCCACTAGTGCGCGTTGGATATGAGATGGTTGTAGCCAACGAGGTGCGGAGCGCCGAGTTGGCTATAATCATCTCATGTCCAACAAGCGCGAGTGAAATAATTGTTTTATTAAAAACGCCCACAAAATATCGAGAGTTCTCCCCGACTTTATTTTTAAAAACAATCGATTTTCAGCTTGCTTTTAATTTTGAGCAGACGCGTACAGTTACCATATTTGGAGAGCATAGTATAATGACTCATATACCATGATGGCTAAGCCAATCAGAGCTCTAGAATTGCATTATCCAATGATTCAGTTTTTAATAAGATCATTTAGATAGATCTTTAGATAGATCTTTCCTTCCTTTTCTGTAGTAATATACAATATAATACGCAAGACTTAGAAATAAAAAAAAGCCTCGATATCAAGCCCAGAATGCCAGATCTCTTGATTCTGCAGTGTATATGATGGAAGGGCTACGGGGTCCCGGAGAGTGTCGGGATAACGATTTGCCTCGTAGATCTTCCGTTGTTCCCAGAAGTGCCCTACAAAGGCCATTAAAACAAAATTCATCGAGCAATACTTACTATTAAAAGGTGGAATCCAATTGATTGGGTTCAGGAGGTGTGTCACTCGGTTTATATGATGGTTGACCCGCTTTTGCAAGTGACCCTTGGCTCGATGGAAGTTCCTAACTCTCATCTTGACTATATGTTTCGTGTGGTGGAAGTAGCTGCGGGCTTTGTTGATACACTCCACTGTTATCTCATGATACGCTATTTCCCTGTACAGCGCCAAGGACTGGCTGTAAACATCGCGATATTTCTTAAGAGTAGCGTTGTACAACTGACGATAGAACCTCTGACATAACTCCACGGTCTGGTCAAACACTTCAATGGAGTAATTCCTGAACTTCACTAAGGCTTGAGGCAGGTTCTCGGATTGAGAAATGTCGAGAGTTGCGTTCACGGCGTTCCTGTAGACTTGAAGAACAAAGCTGCGAGTAGTGTTAAATCCGGCACCGCACCATTGGCGTGAGAGATTATATGCCATCGGGAGGTACTTCTTCGTTACTTCTACGCCTTTGATGTACACAACTTGACAGAAGGCAATGGTCTTGTTTAGCGCTGAGTAGTTCTTCACCTTAATTAGCACTTCTCCATACAACTCTAACGTCTTGTTCAGTGCGATGGTGGAATAGTTCTTGTACAATCCGAGGGTCTTATTCAACACCATTCCGGAGTAATTCCTTGCTTTAATCGCTGCCATTTTGTACATTCTGACGGTTGTGTTGAAAGCCATCTTAGAGTAGTTTCTCGTTTTGTTGAAAGCTTCTCCGAGACAACTGGAATTGTAGATGTCCAAGGTTACATTCACAACTAGCCTATACGCCTTTAGAGTGAAGTTTCGTGTGGTATTAACAGCAATTGGCAGGTATATTTTCGCAATTGGAATACAGTACTTAACCAATGTGGTGTTGGATACGATTACCATGGATTTCTTGTACAGACGCTTACACAGCTTCACCGTTCTGTTATAGAAGGCGATGGTTTTGTTTAAAACTAGGGAGGAGTAATTCTTGTACACTCCTAGTGTCTTGTTAAAGCAAGCCATTGTCTTGTTCAAAACTATCTTGGAACAATTCCTGTACAAATCAAGGGTCTTGTTGTAGATGGCGATGGTCTTGTTCAAAGCTATCGTTGAGTAGTTCTTGTACAGTGCAAAGGTCTTGTTCAGAGCTAAACCACAGATATTTCTAGCGTGTACCACTGCTACTTGGTAGAGTTTCACGGTTTTATTGACAGCTATCCTCGAGTAGTTTCTTGTTTTGTTGAAGGCCTCTCCTAAACAACTGGAATTGTAGATGTCTATTGTTATATTTAATACCACTTTGTAGGCCCTCACAGTGAAGTTTCGGGTGGCATTGACAGCAAGGGGCACGTACCTTTTGACCATAGGAATGTAGTGTTTCACTAAAGTTGTGTTGTACACGACCGTCATGGTCCTATTGTACAGACGTCCGCATAACTTGACTGTTTTATTGTAGAAGGCGATGGTCTGGTTGAGAGCAATCCTAGGGTAGTTCCTACAAAGTTCAACTGTCTTGTTGTAGAAGGCGATTGTCTTGTTCAAAGCTATCTTGGAGCAATTCTTGTACAGTTCAAGCGTCTTGTTGTAGAGGGCGATAGCCTTATTCAAAGCTATGGCGGAATAATTCTTGCCCAATGCGAAGGTCTTGTTTAATGCAATGGCAGAAACATTCTTAGCGCGTACCACTGCCACTTGGCAGACTTGCACGGTGGCGTTGAAAGCTATCTTTGAGTATCGTCTTGTTTTGTTGAATGCCTCTTCCAGACAACTGGAGTTATAAACATCCAAGGTTACATTTACTGCTACTCTGTATGTCTGTACAGTGAAATTACGGGTGATGTTGATAGCGAGTGGCACATATTTCTTGACCATAGGGATGTACTGCTTCACTAACGTCGTGTTGGAAATGATTACCAATGCCCTGTTGCGCATGCGTCTGTACAGTTTAATGGTCTTCTTTACTGCTACTACGGAGAAGTTCCTGGCTCTATTTAAAGTTTCTCGGTAAAAGGCTAGAGTCTTGTTTAAGGCTACTGTTGAATAGTTTTTGTATAAAATCATAGTCTTGTTCAAAGCAGTGCTGGAATAGTTACTGCAAAGCTTCACAGTGGCATTCAAAGCAATCGTCGAGTATTTCGTCGCCTTGCCAAAAGCTTCCTTAAGACAGCTTGAGTTATAGATGTCCAGCGTTACATTCTCGGCGATTCTGTACACTTGAATGGAGTAGTTCAGCGTTGCGTTAACTCCTATCCTGTACCATTGGCGTGACAGATTCAAGGCTTGTGACAGATACTTTTGTGTGATGTTTAGACAGTGGCGTGACAAGTTCACAGCTCGATACAGGTACTTCAGCGTTACATTCTTTGGTTGATTAAGGAACGTGCAACGACGCGACAGGTTGAGGAACATGTGCGTTGCGTTTCTCATCTGTTTGAAGAAGGTACACCGGCGTGCCAGGTCAAGGAACTTGTAGGTCGCATTTCTCATCTGTTTAAAGAAGGTACAACGTCTAGACAAAGCTAAGAACTTGTGTGTCGCGTTTCTCATCTGTTTAAAGAAAGTGCAACGTCGAGACAAGTCTAGGAATTTGTACGTCATGTTTCTCACTTGGTTAAGGAATTGGCTCTGGCGCGACATGTTCAGCAACTTGTAGGTAAGGCTTCGCATTTGGTTTAAGTAAAGGCGGCTGAAGTTCTCGATCTGTGTGACGTTCAGGTATTGGCGCGTAATGTTTAAGGCTTGGACAAGATATTTCTCTGTGATATTCCTGATCTGTGGTATGTTGAAATATCCGCGGGACACATTTAAAACGCGGGCAAGATATTTCACAGTCGTGTTCTTCAACTGGGTCAAGCTTAGGCCTCTGACATAGTTCTTGGCGACGCCGAAATACTGGAGAGTCTTGTTTGTGTACTCCAGTATAATTGGATGGTTCCTTGTCAGGTTGTAATAGCTTGTCGCCAGCCTGATTGTCGTCTGGTGGTACTTCACAGCCAGTTCTTTGGTCAAGGCGAAATATCGAACAGTTAGGTTCAGGAATTTCATGATGACAGGATGGTTCTTTGTTAGGTTGTAAGCATTCATCACAAAAGCGTAGCCGTGCTGGCGGTAGAAATCAGCCAAGTCCTTGGTGATGTTAATGTAATGGAGAGTAACATTAATGTACCTCGCAGTCGCCGGGTAATTCTTGCTGATGTTGTATGCTTCCATTATATATCCAAACGCCTTTTGGTGGTACAGCACTGTTCTGTTCATGGCCACAGCGACCAAGGCTTTGCCTATAGTCTTCACACGCCTAGTGATGTTGTAAGCTTCCATTATAAGTCCGTAGGCCTTTTGGTGGTACAGCACCGTTCTGTTCATGGCCTCAGCAACCAAGGCTTTTCCTAGAGTCTTCACACGCCTGGTCAGATTCGCTGCTTTAACCTTCAACTCGCTTACTTTCTCTAATGCGTTAACTTTCAACTCCTCCATCTTTAAAAGTGCGTTTTTCTTTAAAGAATTCATCGTGGCAACAACTTCGCGTTTCAACGTTTCCATCTTTTTCAAGACTTCTTCTTTCGAGGTGTTGATCTTATCCAGTGCATTTACTTTAAAGGACTGTAAGGTGGTTTTCAAGGTCTCAATCTTAAGCACTGCATCCTGTTTCAAAGCCTCTATCTTGGAAACGATTATGCCACGAGCTTCCATTGACAAGTTTCTGAGTCTTCCAATCGTAGCAACAGCAAGAGAAGTTATGTTCAATTGAATGGCTCTTGGATGTGGTACAACAAGAGTGATTTCGCCATCCCTCACTTGGATATACTTTGGAAGAGCCGCACGGAAATCAGCGATGGTCTCATTGATGGTTACGCGAACTCTCTCTAGGGAAATACGCGCCTTGTCAATGGTTTCATTAACTGCAACACGGACTTTCTGGATAGAGAAACGGGCTCTGCTGATAGTGTAGTTGAAAACTGACTTGGCTTTGTTGATCGTCGTGTTGAGAACAGCCTGGGCGAGTTGGACTGTTTTGTCAACGGTTTTGTTGAACGCAACCCGGGCATACTGGATCGTTTTGTGAACAGTTTCGTTGAAAGTAGCCCTTGTAACTTGAATTGTCTTCTGGATGGTCTCGTTAAGGAGCACTGTGGCATTGTGGATGCTGAAATTCAGTAGATGGATCATCTTTTGAACAGTTCCGTTGAAAGTAGCCCTTGTAACTTGAATTGTCTTGTGGATCGTCTGGTTAAGGAGTACTGTGGCATTGTGGATGGTGACATTCAGTAGATGGATCATCTTATGAACAGTTCCGTTGAAAGTAGTCCTTGTAACTTGAATTGTCTTCTGGATGGTCTGGTTAAGGAGTACTGTGGCATTGTGGATGGTGACATTCAAAAGACGGATAATCTTGGGAACGGTTCCATTGAAAGCAGTCCTTGTAACTTGAATTGTCTTGTAAATGGTCTGGTTAAGGAGCACTGTGGCATTGTGGATGCTCACATTCAAAAGACGGATAATCTTGGGAACGGTTCCATTGAAAGCAGTCCTGGTTAATTGAATTGCCTCGTAAAGGGTCTGGTTAAGGAGCACTGTGGCATTGTGGATGCTCACATTCAGTAGATGCCTCGCCTTGACGAGAGTTGCGTTGAAATAGACAACAGTACGATTGAAATAATCGCGGGCGTATGGAATGGTGTAGTTAAAAACGCCAAGTGCTTTTGCTGTTGATGTCTTTAGGAGCACGGGAGCATAACGTTTGACCGCGTTGACAGCTTTCATGGTGACATTTTTCGTAATGTCAAGGCTTCTTCGTACACGCTCTTTTACCGAGTCCTCAAGTCCATAGTACTTGCAGATGAATATCGCCGTCTCCATCATCTCTAAACGTGTTGCATTCAAGAAGACAATAACGGGTTTTGCTTCCACTATAGTTGTATTAATGATCAACATAGTCTTGTTTATAGCGAGGTCCAGTCGGGTCTTGGTGACGTTCAGCTTTGTCAGCGTTACATTCACAACCAGTCGGGTAAGGTTCAGTGTGTAGTTGTAAGCCCGGATGTACATGGTGCGTCCCTCTATGACAGACTCGCGGATGGTCATTTTGCCCACCTTTCGAAGCATAGTGTAGGGATGACTATTGATTGTGAGATTGACGAGTTGGTCAGTCAAGTTGATCGCGCGCTCTTTCACGATGATTGCCTGTAATGTCAAATTCCTCTTAAATGCTCCTACGAGTTTACTGAGGTTGTGGTAAATAGGCTGGAGTGTATTATTATAGAAAGGAAGAACTTTGCTGTGATACAGTGGCTTTAATTCGTCTCTGTAATACTTGATACCCTTCTCCAGAGTCTGGTTTATCCACGCACGCGTCAGGTTCAGTTTAGCTGTTGTCCAGTTGCGTGCCATGGAAATTGCTCTCATTGTCACGTTACTACATCGACCAATGCAATGCTGAGCCATTGCTTTGTACTTGTAAACCATTATAGTACCATTTCTGTAAAGTGGAAGGAAGTGGCTCTCGTATATGCGTTCATAATGGCCTCTCAAAGCTAAGGTGAAATTCTTGAAATGCGCCTTGACAATCTTCGTGTAATTCTGAACTTTAGCCTGTAGAATACTGGTATAGTTCTGAACCGAAGCATTCAGGATCTTTGCGTAGTGCTTAATCGAGGCATTTAAGATCTTTGTATAGTGCTTCATCGACGCATTCAAGATCTTTGTGTAGTTCTGTATGGAGGCATTCAGAATTCTCGTGTAGCTCTGAACAGTAACGTTGATCAAGTTGGTGTAATTCTTAACTTGTGCCTTTATGATCTTGGTGTAATTGTAAACCGTCTCATTCAGAATCTTGGTGTAATTGCGAATGGTCTCGTTCAGTATCCTGGAATAGTTTTGGACACGCTGCTTTAGAAACTTCGTGTAATTGTGAACTTTCATCCTAAGAAGGAGGGTGTAATTTCCAACTTTGGCAGTGATGTTTTTGTAGTACAGCTGTCCGACTACCATGATCTTGCGCGTTAGATTACGGGCTCCTTGAACTGTGTCCTTAACTCTCAGAGTAACATTTTTCGCCAGTTCTATGGTCTGGTAAACATAATCATGCTCGACGATTTCTCGGAGTTTCTTGGCCCTCAAACCTTCAAGATTTTCAATCAGTGTCTGCCGCGTCTCTTGTACCTTAGCTTTTACCTTTTCTTTGATCAGGCTAGTTTGGTTCTTGAGTTGCTCTATGAACAGCTTAAGATTCTTTGACGCCAACTTTACAGCTAGTCGCACATAATCGGAAGTGTAGTTCGTGAGATTTCGGCCAACTTCAACCAGCTCATGCTGCTTAGCTTGTTCAATGAGCTCTACCCATCTTTCTTCATAAAGGTATTCCTCGATTGGGGTCTCCCTTGTGGCATTTCTGAGATACATCAGAGCGTTCCTGAGAACTCTTTCAATGAAAATTCGAGGATTAGCCATAATCATCTGGTACTTCTCCTGCACAAAGATATACCTTTCCTTGAATCTGAGTGGAAGTGATACGTTCAAGTAATCAACCGCTTCTTGGACTTTAGCCTGAACTTTAGGTTTTATCTCCTTGACATATTCCTCAAGTTCTTCATATTTCTTACGAATGAGCCCTTCTGCTTTGGCGTAACGCTGTTTTAACTGAAGTTTCTGAATAAGGTCCCGAAGGTGTTCAGATTCAATTAAGTTCTTGTATGTCTCGTTAATCAGCTTTCGTGTCTCATCGAGTTTCAAAAGTGTGAAGTTTCTTGCCTTGCCAATGAGAGGCAGGGAGATGTTCTTGGCCTGGACAAAGTAGATAACAGTCTTATTGTGCAAGGACGTGACATAGGGATGGAAGATAGAAACAAGTTCTTTTGCAGCGATATAAGTAACGTCGGCAGACTGGTTGTATAAGGAGACTGCTTCAGCTATCATGTTTACCACCGTTGTGTTCAGCTTATGAAGCTTCTCTTTCCATCCTTCCAACTTGATGTTCAAATTTGTCTGCAAGTGGTTTATCTTTTCCTGTACGCGTTCTTTAATTCTACCGTACTTGCGCCTTAAGAGTTCTTTTGCCACGATGGAATAATGCTCTGCAAGTTGGTACACTTCATAATACAGCTCATCAACGGTCTTCTCTTTGTTCTCTCGATACCATACTTTTACCATATACATAGTTCCTCGTACAAACAGTAAAGTCTCGTTGACGTACCTCGCAGCCAAGACTTTTCCTATTAGGAATCGTTGCTTCATGATGGGCACCAAAGTCTCGTTTACATACTGCAGGTATCGTATTCCACGGAGGGCAAACTCACGTGTCTTGTTAAGGCCAGGGAACGTCATGTTGCGCGTCACGTTGTATATGTAGAGAGTATAGTTCCGGCTCAGGTTGTAGTACTTCTGATAATACTTGAAAGCAAGACTGCGAGTCAAGTTGTAGTATTGAAGAGTGTAGTTTCGAGTGACGTTGAAGTAATGGAGGGTTAGGTTGCGAGTGACAACCAGGTACTTAATGGTCAGAAGCTTCGTACGATTGACCAACGTCAGTGTGAGGTTGTACGCTTTAAGAGTGGCATTCTTGGTGACGTTGAAGAGTTCTATTGCGCGTAAGGTGACATTCTTATAAAGCTGATTTGCACGCAAGGTAACATTCTTGTAGAGTTGAGATACAACCAAGGTGACATTCTTGTAAAGTTGAATTCCACGAACAGTGATATTCTTGTAGAGTTGAATTCCATGAGCGCTGATGTTCTTATAAAGGGAGAAAACGCGAACCGTAGCATTCCTGTAGAGGCTAATTGCCTCCAGGGAGATGTTCTTGTAGTACTGCAGTCCACGGGTGGAAATGTTCTTGTACAGTTTCAATGCGCGGATGGTAACGTTCCTGTAGATCCTGATAGCACGCAGAGTGACATTATTATAAATAGCCAATCCATGTTTTCTGGAGAACTCATAGGTCTTGATTACGATCTCTTCGTACGTCATGTTCTCACATTGTCTCAGTTTTGCCACCAATGCGTTCACCTTAATGGTCAAATTGGCACGATATAACTGAAGTTTCTCCACGGCGTTTTCTTTCAGTTCCTCGTACATCTCCCACGTTGCATTTTTGTAGAAGTTGTAGACCTTCAGTGCGTCGTCACGATGATCATCATAGAACGCCTGCCCATGCTTCTTCAACAAGATGTAGCCTTCAATGGTTTTGTTAAGAGTTAAACTCTTGTAGAAGTTGATCGTTTCATAAGAAGCACTGAGCAGCTTCCTTCTCCACTCGGAGGTGGTGTTCCTAGCCATGATGCCATACTTGATGAAAATGCGGCTACTCTCATTTACAAGGGAAATGAATTCTTCGAACAACACCTCTTTGGTAATATTCATACGGATAAGGGCACCTGTTAAGTTCAAGACATGTTGGGTAAGTCTGATGAGGTCCTGTAATTCATTCTGTACTTTCAGTGTTACGTTACTGATGTAGTATTTAACCAGGAGTGCCCGTTCTTTTATGTTGACTGTTCGAATGCGCTGCACGAGGTTTTGCCATCTCGCCTCAAGTCCAAGAGCTTCAATTTTACCTTTAAGATCCATTTCCGCCCATGCTGTCTTCAAGCGGAGAATAAAGTCCAGGCCACGTAGTTGTTTAGTGATGTTTAATACCTCTGCGGTGATGTTGCTAGCAAAGTCTTCGATTCGCTTAATAGATATTTCTATAATATCTTTAGGACGAAGCTCCAGAAGCTTTTGCAGGGTCTTGTTGAAGACTTCCACAGATTTGTTGTAGGCTAGAGAAACGTGCTTACCGAGGTTGAGGTGTAAAGACTGGTTAAAGACCTTCATTGTGAGATTGTAAAGTTGGATGCTCTTTCTGATGGTGAAATCTATGATCTCTTCAGGTTTCTTTGCTGCATTTTCGCGGATAAAGCTGACAACGGCGGAGATGTTACTGCTGAGCGTGTGATTGATAGACTTTAAAGTTTCCGATGTTAACTTCAAGGAAATGATAACCGCTTCATCCAGCGTGTGGCCAATGGGGATACCACGGATAGTGATGTTTCTAAGTTGGTACATAGTGCCAAGTGCCAAAGGAACAATGGGTCTCAGATAAGCGGATACATTGTTGTTAAGCTCCATAGCAAACTTGCGAATAGGGTGGAAAACCTTTAACATCAAAGGATACACTTTTCCTTTAATAGAGATGTAAGCTTTGGTTGTGAAGTTAATGAGTGGGCCGTTGATCGTTGTCAGCTTGGTATAAGTTGCAAGTGTGACATTTCTGACCTTCACGGCTATGATCCGAACTTCCTTGCTAAAGTTTCTCGCCAGGCGAATGGCTTGGATGGTAACATTTCGTACTAGCCTAGGAAGAATTCTCGTTGCATTCCTCGTGAAATTCATCACTATCTGATGTACAAAGCAGGCTTTCTTGTGCAGGGTTTTGAACTGCTGGCGAAGCGTGGTGTTGAACTGTTTGAAGTGCTGCTGGATTGTCTTGTTCAGAAGCGTGACGTGTTCTTCAACAGTCTTGTTGAGAACCGTGATATTACGAATACTCATTCCCAAGCTCTTGGCGATGACGGTTAAATTTTTAAGTGTACAGGAGGTATTAAAACCACATGTGAATTCCTCAACTTTAGACACGTATTCGTCGAACAAAGGACCAACTTTTTCCCCACGAATCTCAACCTCTCGAATTTTGACAATAAGTTCACGTGTTTTCAATTTAACTTTTTCAAGAAGGGCTGCCGTTACAACTTTAACCTTGCCAGAGACGTTCTTGGCTATATCCTTAAGATTCTGCCCACGAAGTGTCACGGAACCCACTAAAAGGGAAACGTTATTCGCCCAGACTTTGATATCTCGAGTGATACTTTTCAGATGTAGGGTTACATTTCCAACTATGGGTGGCAGCACTTCTCGTCGGAATCGTTCGTAGGCTTCGGTTACATTTAGGTTAATACTCTTGAAAAGATCAGTAGCGTTACCCAGGATCCCCTTGTAATATACACTGGCATTGCGCATGACAATTGAAAAGCGCTTTACAGTGCCATTCAGGAAGTTAAATGTCACGTTGATAAGTCGAAGCGTGGCGTTCTGAGCCTTTGCTGTGAGATTCGTCACCAGTCCATTGTAATCGAAACGCTTCACCCGAGCGTACAGCTTCAGAGCCGCAGGTCTGATTTTAGCTTCTAGTGTCTTCACAATCCTGTCTAGTTCTTTAGTATAGTTCTTCGCTCTTCGGACAGTAAGATTATAGTATTTCACGATGGTGCTTCTGATAACAGACTTTAAGACCTGAACTCTTCCCACAAGAGTGTTTACGGAGGTCGTATTCCAGGTAAATGTCAGGCGACTTGCCTTTGCGTTTAAGAGGTACATCAGACGAGACTCGTTAACCACATTCACACCGAGTTTGCGCTGAAGGGTCACCTGAACACTGCCGTTATTTGGCATCTCGCTGACAATCTGGCCCGAGATTCTTGGAGAAACGGTTACATTGAAGACAATGCTCCTCACCGCTGGGTTAAATCTTAAGAGCCATCCTGCTTGGTTGTTCTGGTATCTTACAAAAGAGCTAGCAACATAGTTATTCCAGTCAAACCGTCCAGTGAAACCAACGGTACGATTGAATGCAGCAAGCATCAGGACCAGAGTCTTCCTTTCTATGTCCAGTTTCTCAGTTAAGGTGAATGTTTTCTTTAGAACCGTTAGGCCAGAAACTAGCGTCTTTGTGAGGTTGTCGTAGGAGGAGAAGAGTTGAAGTGATTTACTAAAACCTTTCAAATCCATGGCAATTTGCATTCCTTGGTTAGTGTTCCAGTTAACATCCAGGGCGACGGGGACATTAGGCACAACCTCAACGGATACGAGGAGTTGCTGATCGTTCTTTCTGAAATTGATCATGTGATTCCATGTTCTTTTGAACGCCGAAATTTCGCTCGTTAAGTGCAAGCCATTCTCCATAGTCAGCAGACCACTTACTTTCACAGGGTACGCCGGGCAGATCTCAAAGTGTCCACTGTACTCACCAGTGGTTCTGCTGTAAGTAAACCAGTTTTCAATTTTCTTGTTCAAAAACTCGACGGCGCTGTTGATCGAGATACCATGCTCTGTGTTCCAGGTGGTTGTCCAGGTAATGGGCCTTCTTGGAAGTAGCTCCAAGCTCAATTTTACAGAATTGCTCTTCTTAAACCAAGTTAAGGAATGCGTCATTGTTTTCTCAGGCAGGTAGTTAAGGGTGAGAACGTTGGAGAGCTCTTCCGTGTTGTTTTTGTAAACACCAGTCAATGTTACAACCTTGTCTTTAAAGTAAACAAGAGAAACAGTGGCCTCGTGATAGGAATCCTCGGCATTGGAATAGTTGTTGTATGCTGCGACCCAGCCGTGTTCATAAGAGCGTCCCATCAGTTTAAGATTGTACTGGTAACCAAGTGAAAGGCTCTTGCTCGTTTTTGACCATGTCAGTTTGGAGCTATCAAAAAATAGGCTTTGACTTCCATTTCTAGCCATGCGGGTTATTATGAGCTCTTTTACACCCCCTGATTGGCTAATCAGTGTCGACTGCCATTCTGCAGCGAAGCGGTCAACTTGTGAGCGTACCTCGACCATCTTGCGGTTGCTATTATTCAAGAGCTTTAGGGTAGTTTTCGCGACGACAGTCTTGTTCCAGAATAGTTGGACAGCAGCCTCTTTCAAGGTCTTGCCATTGAGCCAGACACCTTCCACGCCAACGTGTTTCTTTAAAACTGTGGCTTCAAATCCAATAGCTTTGACTGTTGTGTTGCGGAAGTAAAGAGAAGCACTGGCTGATTTGTTGATTACCGTCGTGTTAAAGTTGAGACTCTTCTTCTCGGTCGTGTGAAGGAAGCTCAACCAGGATTCAAGGAGGGTGGTTCTGTTGAACTGAACAGTTACTCGGTTTGCCATTTCGACGCGATTCTTAACCCACAGCGTTTTCAATTCCCCTGTTCTGTTAAAGATGGTTAAGTTGAGGGAAAGGCTTTTCTCATCCGAGCTATTTGTGAAAATGGCACAGATTCCCCCATGAGGACGACCAACATATTTAGGGAACAGACAAGCGCGCTTCTGAGTTGTTGAATTCTGGAAAATTCCAATCAGTGCGACAGTGTAGTTCTGGTAGGAAGCGTTGATCACAAGTTTCTTCTGCCTTTCCTGAAAAACGAGTTTGCTCTCTAGCTCGAACGATTTGTTGCAGCAACTGACATTGAAACGAACTCCCAAGTTCGATGGGCTTGAGAAATAAATCAACGAGGCATTCGAGGTCTTATTCATCACTGCAAGATTGAACCGGAGTCCCTTCTCGGAATCAGTGTTCAAAAGAGTCCAGACGGCCTCCATGGTTTTGTTCAAGGTTGTAGCTTTGAACTTGATGGATCGTCCATGTGCGTTGTTGGAATAACTCCAGATGGCTTCTGCAGTTTTGTTTAAGGCAGAGGCATTAAACTTGATTGATCTTCCGTTTTCGTCTACCATGTAGCTCCACATTGTTTGAATGGTTCTGTTCATTGCAGTAGCCTTAAATTTAAGGGTTGCTTCGTTTTCCTCCCTGATGTAGCTCCATATGGCTTCTGAAGTCTTGTTAAGGGCGGAGACATTAACTTTGATGGCTCTCTCATTCTCATTCTCCGAGTAACTCCAGATGGCCTCAACAGATTTGTTCAGTGCGGACGCCTTGAACTGAAGAGATTTCTCGTTTCCGCCCTTCGCGTATCTCCAGACAGCCTTCACCGTTTTGTTCATTACCGAGGCGTTGAACTTCACGGATCTTTCGTTTTCATTACAGAAGTAGCTCAAGACGGTTTCAGCTGTTCTGTTCATTGTGGAGACCTTGAACCTCAGCGCGCTTTCATTCTGATCCCTCACGAAGCCCCAGGCAGCTGTAACAGTTTTGTTCAACGCGGAGGCGTTAAACATGATGGCTCTTTCTTTCTCGTTCTTCAAGTAACTCCAGCTGGCTTCAATCGTCTTGTTCATCAACGCGGCTTTAAATTTAAGAGCTCTCTGGTCCTTACTCTTCGAGTAGCTCCAGACAGCTTCTGCAGTTTTATTCATAACAGATGCATTAACCTTGATTGACCTCTCGTTTTCTGTCTTCAAGTAACTCCATGAAGCTTCTACATTTTCTCTCATCCCACTGACATTGAATTTTACAATCTTCTCATTGGTCAAGTTAATGTAGGTCCAAGCTGCATCTATCGTCTTGTTAAAACCAGTCACACTGAATTTGATGCCCTTCTCAGTAGGGAAGTTAAGGATGGACCAAACCGATTCAACTGTCCTGTTGAAAGCGCTGGCTTTGAACTTCAAACTCTTCTCGTTTGTCACGTTAAGGAAAATCCAACTTGCGTCTATGGTCTTGTTTTGTGCCTTTGCGCTTATCTTCAATCCCTTCTCCTTTCCTAGGTTGAAGAAGGTGATTGATGTCTCGAGTGTCTTATTAATGGCACTGGCTTTAAATAGCAAGCCTTTCTCCTTTTCTAAGTTGAGAATGGTCCAAGTGGCGTTGACGGTCTTATTAAGAAGGTTGGCTTTAAAAACTAAGCTCTTCTCGTTTTCCATGCTAATGAAACTCCACGTGGCGTTGATGGTCTTGTTAAGTGCACTAGCGTTAAACCTCAAACTCTTCCCCTTAGGCAAGCTGATCAAACTCAATGTCGCGTCAATAGTCTTGTTAAGAGCGCTTGCCTGGAATTTCAATCCTTTCTCGTCAGTGAAGTTAAGGAAAGACCACCTGGCATCCAAGGTCTTGTTTAGAACGCTGGCATTAAATTTCAGACATTTCTCACTGGCCGAGTTTAGGAAAGTCCATGTCGCGTCAATGGTCTTGTTGAAGGCAGTGGCTTGGAATCCGAGTCCCTTCTCGTTTGCTACATTGAGGAAAGACCACTTGGCGTCAATGGTCTTGTTCAAAGCACTGGCATTGAATTTGAGACTCTTCTCACTGGCTGAGTTTACGAAACTCCATGCTGCTTCAATGGTCTTGTTGAGAACGCCGGCTTGAAATTTCAATCCTTTCTCGTGGGCGTGGTTAAGGAAGGACCACTTGGCATTCAACGTTGTGTTTAGGGCGCTGGCGTTAAACTTCAAGGTTTTCTCTCTGGCCGAATGAACGAAACTCCATGTTGCATCAACAGTCTTGTTCATACAACTGGCTTGGAATTTGAGTCCTTTTTCGTTGGTGAAATTAAGGAAGGACCATTTGGCATCTAAGGTCTTGTTGAGAGCGCTTATGTTAAGCTTTAGACTTTTCTCATTGGCCAGGTTAAGGAAACTCCATGTTGCATTAACTGTTCGGTTTAAGGCGATGGCCTTGAACGTCAGACTCTTTTCGTTTGTGAGGTTGACGAAGGTCCAGGTGGCGTCCACAGTCTTATTGAGGGCTGAAGCGTTAAAGCGAATTCCTCTCTGCACGCCGTCGTTGAAGTAAGACCACATTGAGTCAGCTGTCTTGTTAAAGCCTGTGATATTAAAGCGCAATCCTTTCTCTTTTCCCGCGTTTACGTATGACCACACAGCCTCTAGAGTTTTGTTTACAACGGTTGCGTTAATTTTGATGCTTTTTGTGCCGGTAACGTTCTGGAAGACCAGGGTACTATCCATGGTGTAATTCAGCGCCAAAGCGTTCAATCGCAGTCCCTTCTCCTGTCCGATGCTGACATATGACCACACTGCTTCAACGGTCTTGTTGATGACAGATGCATTGAACTTCAAGCTTTTTCCTGTTGTAACATTCAGGAAGGTCCATGCTGCTTGCATTGTCCTGTTGAAGCTTGTGGCATTGAATTTCAATCCCTTCTCTTGGCCAGCGTTGAAGTATAACCAAGCAGCATCGAACGTTTTGTTCAGAAGGAGTCCATTGAACTTGAATCCTTTCTCCTGCGTCAAGTTAAAATAGCTCCATACAGCCTCCGCTTTGCTTCCAAGGACAGTGGCGTTTGCCTTGATAGACTTCTCTTTGGTTGAGTTTACAATACCAGCGTACCATCCAACTAAACGCTTCCTGTTGTCATGGCTGGCTGTAAAGCGGATGCCTTTCTCGTTTCCACTCTCGGCATAGGAACCGCGTAGAGTAAATGACTGGTTACAAGGGCGGGCAAATAAGTGGATGACGCCTTTCTTTTCTGCTTTCAGGTGTCTGCCAGTAAGTTCGATACCTGCCTTGGTTGGCTTGTTGTCAAAGTTGAAAAGGAAGGTATTTTCTTCTTCACCAAGGTTTCCATTGAAGCTGATTTCCGTTTTTGTGCATGTATGATTAGCCAAGAAGCGGACGTTTCTCTTTGGGACGTTTAGCTCGCCGGAAGCATAGAGATATTTCTCAGGCCAGTATGTGATGTTATTTACGAATCCATACGCACCAGATCTGTTGTAGAGCTTGGTAAGCTGCTTGATGGTATAGTTCCTGTACGAGGCAGACAACTGGATACCAAGTTCTCGCGAAAGGCTGTCCTTCGTGTTATTAAAGAACTGACCATTAAGGATGATTGGATGTCCGTAAACTGCATCTTTGGCAGAATACGTAAGATTCAGTGCATGCGTGTTGTTATTGTAAATTGCTTCAAAGGTGCCAAACTTTGTACCAAGTGCTCCTGTGGACAAGGTGAATAGTTTGCCGTCTTCTTTGAGCCACAAAGTGACGTTGGCATCGAAGTTTCGCTCCCAGGTTGCTCCAGGAGTGGACATGGTGGCAATGACATCGTATCTGTTCTCATCCTCGGTGCTCAAGCGTTCGGCGAGCAGTTGATACCTGGTGAGTTTTGGATCGGTGCGCTGCATTGAGATACTGTAGGAAGCTGGACCAGACAATGGATAAAACGGCGAATGCAAGTCCCGGTAACCAAGAGGCAAGGACAGCTGTCCGCAGAATCTCAATCCAAGAAGGCGTGTCATATTCAGGCAGGGCGATGGCTATTACAGGAAGAAAAGGAAAGACGTATTAAAAACACGAAAACAGCCAAGGACTCCACAAGTTTCAAATATCACTTAAAAACATATTGCACTCCTTTCCACCTTTAAATTCAAAACCTATCCACAGGTCTTGGAAGCTCTTAGAGTAATTTTGCAGAGCTGTCAAAGGACCCAGATCGAAGGGAAATATTATCACTTTTAAGTAAATTGAGTTCTTTACCTCAAGCCGTCTTGGTGTTCCTTCAATAGCCTGTTTCTCATCATTGAGGGTAGTGAAAAGAGACGACCTGTAACAAAAGCAAACAGTTTAGTTAAAGAAGCCGTGTCGCGGCTGTCTACATAGTGGAACCTCGAGTTCATTTTGCCTATAATACCAGTTACGCGTATTTTTTCATTATGGAACGTGAGAAATTACCTAATTACAGCATGGTGTCAAACTGCTCTTGTCTTTCAAACATTATATAAAAAAGACAATTAACTTTGAATATCTGTTAGCCTTACAAGTTTTCAAAAAGCCAAAATTGCAATCAGTTTTGATCTTCTTCGAGTTTGTCCATCCGTGCTTTCTCTTGTATTTGCTGTTTTACTTACACCTTCTTTTTATGTTTTCCCTGCCAGCAGAGACTTTCATGTTTGGAGCAGTTGTTTTTCACTCAGTTTGGTAGCAGTTCCCACTGCTATAATTTTGATAAATTTCGTGACACAGTTCCTGTACGTATTACATCCAAGAGCCGGTTTCGTTGTGGTCCCTACTTAGACATGCTTTCATAGTTACAATAAGTATCACCATTCGTGTACTTACGAGAAGTTAAAAAACTGCACAGGTTCCTCAGGAACACCGACTTCAAACTTCAATAGTTCACCCTGAGAGTAAGTAGCGTTTCCCTTGATTTGGGTAACAGTGTACACAGATGAGTTGACAAGGATACCAGCCTCAGCGTGCACAGCGCTCACGCCCATTCGACCAGAGATATCGACTACAGCACTGTATAAAACAAAGAAAAGCTTAACGTCAGTTGAAACAAAAAAACCTCAATCGTTTAAGAAGTCAACTTTTAATAGCTCGATCTTCATTTTCATTGTTTACAGAGTACAGAGTAGTTTTTGTGGCATTGGTTAGTATCACTGCTGATTAATACGCCAGCTAGTAGTTTTAAACGTATTACACACACTGTTTACAGGTAGCCATTAGGACACCTGAAGGAGGGTCATGAGCTTATCCCTACATAAAGATCTCACCTCACAGATAACCCACCCAGCACAGGAAAGGTTGGCCGCACCACCGGGGTCTACGTCCCCTACTCTTTTCGAACTGTGGTGTGGGTTCTTTTACGTCCTACAAGAACCAGGTAAGTGAAAGTGCTGTGAGACGGGATGTACGTTTTTTCGTCCTAATCCGAGAAGACTGAAAGTCTAACCGTTTGCAGATGTCATTACAAAGGCAGCACTTTCTTCTCAGCTATTTAAAGACCCTGAGTTTTGGTCCGACCGGGGAACCCGCGACCTCCCGCTCAGCCGATCGGCGCTCTCCCAACTGAGCCAACCAGGAGGCACGCGGTTCAATCATCATTGTTGTCATCTTAGACATAAGAAATTGACAAAAAAGAATTACGTGGGGTATCGAGAAACGATTAGCCGCTTCCGCTATTTTCTCACCTTGGCTTTACATGGCCTCGAATATCAAATTTCATTTTTCCCCAGAACATATTCCTAATGTCAAACTTTCCAGCGAGTTCCACAGAAGCAACGGTGGTTCCCTTAGCACTCAGTTTGAGCGGCAGACCAAGAATAGTAGGGACGGTAGTTTGGGCGTCCAAAAACATCATACTCTTGCTGAAGGTCTTCTTGCCACCCTTTGCCATCAGGAGCAAGAAATCGATGACGTTCACCTTGTCGATCTCATCGTTTAGCCAGCTAATATCGTTGAAGCTGGCAAGTCTGATCTCATTACCAAACATCTTCACAGAGAGAGCGCCAGATGGGTGATGCATTCGATTGTCCATCTGTAAAGGAGATAACGAAAACCTCGTTATGAGTCACCCCACGAAGTGATGGATAAACATAACTAAGAGAGGTTTATTCTGGAAAAACAACATCTTCACTAACTTCACCAAGTGGAATGGAGCCACAGAGGAAACCCACCTTGCAGCCACCCCATTTTACTAGTGACCTAGAGCAAAACGGAACGTTGGCGACTGGAAGTAAAAATTAACAACTGGACTTTGATCATTCGACTACTTCATTCAATGCTAAAGGAGTTACACAAAACCTTTTCAACTCGCCCTCACAAAAGCATTCCATCGGGCTTAACACCAAAGTTTCGTTTCCTACTCATCGCGAAGTCAGCGTTGTCGTCGCTTTAATTCTATGGACCACTCCGTTATTTTCCTCTTAAAATCTCGCCACTAAGACTAGTATTTATGGGCCTTGGCCGGGTGGTCACTTCTACGTGGTTTCATTGTATTGAAGAGTAAGATATATGAAGAGATAAAGCCTTTTCTGCAAGGAAGTCAAAATAAGTGAAGGATGCTGATTTGTTTCATAGCATGAAGATAAAAAAGCGGTCAACTGAATCCGCTACAGAGAGGTTCAACAACGCCTATTGTAACGTTTGTAATTTTGATACAATCCCTAAAGAATCTGCATAAACGGCCGTTTAGGGGAAAAATGTTGCATTTGGGAAATGATTTCCTTAAACTTACCGTTCGGTGAAGTTTATGAAGATGATTCTCTACACGGTTGATGTCATCTTCAATGCTCAGACTCCTCTGTCTTCGGAGCACTTTATTGACAGTCCTCTCCTCCTTGTCTCTCTCCTCGTACGGCTTTAGGTTGAACATCTTCATAATGCGGTCATCAGGGAAGTACCCCTCATCACCAAAGAACTGTTCGATCAGGATTTCCACACCTTCGAAGCGTGCGGCTGTCTCAAGCACGTTAATGGACGCTCCCAGGACATCAACTGTAAGGTTGAGCATGGCACTACGTGGAAAGAAGCTGCTGGGATGGAAGATAATGTGGCTCTGCGCCGATCCACCAAATCTCAAAACGTCTGCATGAAAACAGAAAAAGGAACTATTAGACGGGGTAGTTGCTAGAACAAGCCTACATCAACAGAAGCCAACCTTAAGTAAGGGTAATGGGTCTATCTTCGCCACAAACAGACCCTAATCTGAAAATAAAGCTTGGATTGCTAGACTAACGGTACAGTTAGATTAATTCATCACTCTTAATTTAAACAAAATGTTACGTTGCTATCATGGGGGAGGAAAGAATGACCAATGACCATCATCTCTAGTTGATACTTATAGCCAAGAACGAACTTGACCTTATCATCTCAATAAAGAAGTACAATTTTCGCCCGTCATTATTCTGATGCATTTGTTATGTCGCTAGTAATGGTGATGCTTTGCTACGAAGAGCGCTCAACGGTTTGGTAGAGTCGCTAACTTAAAATGTTTTTTATCGGTCACAAGAAACACGGAGTACTGTTCCGACGTTATGCATGGTCGAAAGTCATAGCTGAAGAGCATGGCCAGAAGTAACAAACCTACCGCTGTAAAATGATCCCTCCCAAGCACGTGAGAATTTCAACCTGTTGAGATTAAACTCTCGCAGTTTCATTCCATTCAGAGCGTCCTTCATCATCTCGGCCTGAGGAAGACCATGTACTGGCTCTGTTGACTCCATGGCGTTCGTCATATGTGACCATACGAACGATCCAACCTGGTTGTTGACTTCGTCGTTGAGGATTCTAGCGACTTCTTTGAAAACACTTTGACTGGGGCACTTCATAAGAGCGAGATACGCAGCGATACGGATTTCAACATCGAGGTCGTGTTCGCCATAAATCTTAAGAAGTTGCTCCGTCGTATGGTTGTTGCAAGGTAAGCGACGGAGGGCCTCCAATGCAGCAATACTCATGTTGACAGGTGCGTCCAGATTGAGGGCGCATCTCAGCAGGACGTGTTCAGCAGACGCAGGACGGCCAGCATTTCCAATGGCTTTCAGAGTGATGAGCATATTTTCGAAGTCTTCTGGTGTTGTACCCTCGCATGCAAAGCCAAGACGTGATTTCAAGAAGCTTTCCGCTTTGGTGATGGGGCTACCTTCCTCCTAGCGGGGGCGAAAGTGGAACAGTATTTTAGTTTACGTTACACGTTTTATTTTTGGGCATCCTGCATTAAGTTCGATTTCCGCTGCTCGCTCGGGAAGGTAATCGAGCCTAATCCTGCTTCGGATTGACCGCGCTGCTCAATTAGTTAGAGAGTTGACCTGAGGTCAACAATAATTTCTTGGGTTCTTTGTTTGTGTTAATTTCTTTTATAGGTCTTCTAGTTCAGAAGCAAGGTATTGTACAGTTCTCACTCTCCATCACTCATTTCACTGGCTTCATACGGATGCTAAACGGCTTACATTCTTTACTCAATCACTAACGGTAACCCGGGACAAGCCATACCCTTCATTGGAACTGGTGCTTAGCTTAGTACCTGATTCCTACAAAGGACATTTTTTATGATTGTTTTGACTTGTATTGCTGTAAGGAAACATAAGCTTCGCTAGTAGACGTCTGTACCGAGATAAGTTTCTGACAATTTTTTTCAGGTTTTTATGAACTAACCTTTTCGTCACACTCCCGAGGGTTGCTCTCGCAGACCTTGTGTATGAGTGTTCCTAGAGTCAACATGGCCGTTCTACCCGGATTCTCTTCGCAAAGCTCCAACACGTGTTCAACCGTCTCCTTGGTGGGATTTGACGCCATAGCAAGACCAGCCAGGAACATGTTGCCTCGCTCATGGCTAACTAACTTTTCCCTTATGGCATAACTCATCACTTTAGCACAGCCCCCCGTTCCACAGTGGGGTAAAGCATCGTAGAGATATTCACTAAAAAAAAGATTTTCAAGGACGTAGTTGTATTTATCAAGACATACCACACAGTATTACATCTAATTCAACGTTATGAGTTTATAGATTCACCAAAGACAGCGAATAAAAATGAAAAGAATCTTGCAGATCAAACAGTCATTTCGCTTAACGACCTTCTCGAGAACACAAGGGTTTACGGTGTAGGTGACCGCCGCTTAAGGGACCGTTACACGAAAGTTAAGCCCATTTTGTTTACGTTTGTCAAATACGTTCCATGAAACTTCACCTTGGGTTCAATAACAAATGACTCACCCTTTAAAAATAACATAAAACGTCTTTCTCGCGTATGCAACACAAAAAAATGAAAATGACTTTTTGGCCTGTGAAACAACTTTGTAAAACCCAATCGTTCACCGTTTTAATCATCCTTAACTGAGGCCATTCGTGCCATCATGTGTATTTGCCATGATTTGTTACATAAACCTTTGGGTGATATTTTAAGCAGTTATTACATTATATTTCTCTCAATTTGGAAGCCAGTCTCTAATGCCTGAATACGGCGTTTTCCTATCTGTCGAGTGAGGTGACATTATTAACACTTACTGCATCTTTTCATCTTCCTCTTGGTGTACCTTCTGCCACAGTTTCTCCATGGCTGGAGTGTTAAGCTTGCGGATACTGAACACAAGTTCCGAGAAGTGCTGTGCGGAGTCTGGTTTGGTACTCGTACGGGATTGCTGGGTCAAACGGCTGACCAGATAGTACGCATTAATTATGGCATCTTCGTTGGACACGGGTGTGGAATGGGCGTACTTCAGTGAAACAGACCGAAATTCCTCTGAAAAAAATTACAAGGATTACCTTCTTTTACTTGAAGTCCACGTACGTAAAAACTGATGACCTTCATCTCCACGTTATTTAGCTAGTATTAAGCTTTTTTAAGTCAAAAAGTCAGTTAGCCTAGTTCTTACGTCATGTAATCTGTGCTACTGCTTTCAATGACTTAATCCTGGAGGGTTTTTAGCCGAAAGAGAAGAGAGAAGCTCTAGCAACGTCACAGTAAAATGATTTTAGACTTTGTCTGATTTAAGTTTTACACAGCCTGTGTGCCTGACTGCCATTAGCGGGAGAGTGCCGAAGGGTTTTATCGGCGGAGCCATGAGTAGATGAGGGGAAAGACAAATTGATTTTCGCTTCGCTAGCCGCCAAGAAAATACCCCGGGCACAGCTACACAGTGTTGTCTCTAATTGCACCATGAGACATTTTTGGAAAAGCTGTCGCTTCTCTTAAGTTGCAGCACACTTTTTTGTACATTTCTTTTCCTTCACTGCACGACTGCGGCGTGAAAATTCCCAATTTCACTTTTATGGAGGACGTAAAGAAGCGACAACGAATTTTTCTTCCTCTTTCAAAACTTGTGTGTGGTCCCCAAGAAATTAACTCCAGGGAAATCCGCTTTCAGCGAATTGAAATAAGCGCGACAAAGTTTGAAAAAAACGCGAATTCATTTTAAAAGTGAAGTTTTCGCTGCCGTTGCACTTGTCGATGCTAAAGCTCCCTATTTGGTGTTATGAGGTTGCACAGGATACTGGGTCAAATTCGTCTCTAATACAATCCCACAGTGCAATTCGACACCAAAAGGAGCCAGTCCCCAGCGTCACATTAACAAAGGCCAATATTAACTTCCCTTGCTGAAAAATAACCCTCTATCAAATCTTAAAATCAGGAGTGCAAAATTATTTGAATACATACCGATAGCAACTGGCTCAGGTTCAGTTGTCTTGATTGATTGCAGTTCCAAGACTTGTCTGTGGTGAAATTAAAAGAATAATTAATTACATTGTGGAACCTCAATATAACGAAGGGCCAAGGCACTGGCAAAATGTGTTCAACATACCGAGGTTTCGTTATATCGAGGTTCTTTTTCATATATTTTGCTATTACTGGGGTAAAGAAGATCGTTCGTTATACCGAGGACTTCGTTATATAGAGGTTCGTTATATTGAGGTTCCACTGTATGTTTATTCCACGAGAAGTCGAATATCCCGGCTACAGCCCTCAATAGTAGCCTACACGTTTTCAGGCGAAAGAATACGCTGGCTTTCACGTCCTACCTGGTGGTGGTAATAGCTCCAGATGTATTTTTGTAGCCTGCAGAGAAGGGTCTAAAGATGTGTTGTTCCTCACAAACCACCTTCTGTGTTCGAGTCTTGGCAGTTAAGTACATCTTACACGTGCTGTGAGAATTCAGCAAGCTCAGTGGCTGTGAAAAAAACAGTAATAAAAAGCTTAGAGGTGTCTTTTGCACTTCAGGAGCAAGGATTTACACCGTCGGCTAGTGCGCGGACTTCTGTGCGAGAGAGATCCCAGGTGCGATTCTCACGTGTGACCTCAAATCCTTGTTTTGACTTCTTTCCTTTCCGTGTTGCTTTAAAGGAGAAGTGTTTGAAGCTACCGACGGCAGGTGAGTACTCTTAACCCTTTTACTTCCTCAATCCACACCCGAGCGGTTACGTCATGGCGCCGCTTTGCCTAACCTTTTACTCCGACATTGCCTTATTTACGAAAGTTCTGAAAACGCTTTGTTTAACGCAACTCAGCTCTTCGCCCATATCGCTTGCTGGGCTTACTTAACAGAGTATACTGCACTGATACTTAAAAACGTCCCCTATTCATCACTACATATTAGCAGTTCCCTTCGCAGTTTGTCGAAACATTTGTCGTCAATTAATTACTTTTGTGCATGGAGATGACGAACTCGCCTCGATTCTTCGCCTCTCACACTTTTCACGTTTCAATTTTTATCCTTTATAATTTAAAGAGTCTTTCCACAAATTCCCGGCTGCCAAGAATTCGGATCGTACTTGTCGTGTTTTACATGATTTAAACCATACCTTCTCTTCGTAAGAATGCACGTGAATTCCGACGTCTGTCTGTGCGCGATCGGAGCACTCCGTCAGGTTTCGCGTCTTGTAGATCACTTTGGGTCGACCGCTGATGTGACGAGATTTGATGGTGTATTGCACTTTGCATTTACCAACAACATCGTCCTGAAAGGTGCGAATTAGAACAAAGACAGTCAAGGCCACAAATTCCATTGTAAAAAATACAGTGGCTAGGGTTATTTCAAATTTGTTTATCCAGACCGTTCACACGAGCAAGTTTTACTTTCCAAGTTTTTCCTTGACAAGGAAACTTAAAGAGGTTTCGTGTTTAGTAAAAACACTGCTAAAGTCACTCAGTTCTCCCTTGCCAAGTTTTCCAAACACATGATTTATTTTTTTTGGTAACGAAAGTCTGGCTAAGGAAACTTAAGTCTCAAACGCGGGAGTCCTTTGTATCTTCATGCTTCGCTACTTGGGGTACCCCCTCCCCTCAATAATAATAACAATAATAATAACAGTAATTACCGACTGAGAGGTAGCACATCGACGTAGTGGTTCTTCCGTCTACCATTCCTGGTCGAATTGCAATTTTGAAATGCTGGTTTTTGAGGAGAGGCAAAAAACGGAGTATCCGAAGAAAACCTCTTGGAGAGAACCAAACTAATAAAACTCAACCCACATACGTCGTTGACGCCGGGATTTGATCAGTTGGTGGGAGGCGAGTGTTCTCACCCCTGGGCTACACTTGGCCCCCAAGGGGTCAAGACCCTCCCCATGAATCCCCCCCCACTACCGAGTAAAGGGGCAAAAAACAGTCTCTTACCTCTTCCAAGACGGCATGCTCGTTAACGAACTGCACCTGTAACGCGCTGAGTATACCCCTCTTGATGTTCAATACGTGGGGAGGTTCCTCTGGATGGGCGAGGATCTCAGTGATTCGACCGCGGTCGGTTCTAAATACAAGATCTTGAGCTTCAAGCTCTTCAGCAAAAGCTGTTGATCCCCGAGATACATGGTATTTCAAGGGACCGGGGTTCTTGCTCTGTGCTTCCCAGAGCTCAACTGTGTCAAGCTGAAAAGAAAGAAATAAGTATCAGCAGGCTTTTCTAGAACTACGCTTTTCTCTCAAAATCTATCATGTAGTATTAAATGATGAGAAGAACTTGTTAAACAATGAAGATTTCTTTCACTTGTTGACCAAATACATTAAACGACTGGATATAAAACTACATCCTCTGCGACTAAAATTCTTTTGGGCATAATATTTTGCCACTTTACTTCAGACTTAACTTAAGTTAAAGAACAACTGCCCTTGCTTTACTGCGACAAAATATGGATCATAGAAATCAAAATATTACCTCTAATTCACAAATATTTTCCGTCGAAACAGCGTTTCCACAAGAGTCACTGCACAAATCGCGGGCGCAGCTTTTAACAGGAATACCGCTGGATTTTGAATTGCAAATGCGCGTATCCGCCATCTTGATTTGTGACTGAGTTCAAAAGCACTGGCCTTGCGACAGTTGGCATTTTGGCATTAAAATTATTCTACTGCATCTAAACCTGCTGTGGGACTGCCCTGCACAGGTCTTTCATATATTATTATTAGTGAAATGACCTGAGGTTATTAGTTGCGTCCTGGTTCGGTAGAGCATATTCTCTCTTCTCTATCCTTCTTCATATGTACCGACGGGAAAAATTTTTTTACAAACACGACTTATTTTATACGGTTTTTTATTTCTCTCATTTTATGTCCTCCTTTATGAGCCTGCGAACACAATCTTACGTGACAGCAGACACCATAAGCCACACCACTTTAAGCCCTAAGAGTGATCAGTACTAAATTTCTCCCCGTGATATCAATGCTTCGTAAAACAGAGTGGTCATGAGAATTTCGGATATGATCACACAAGATCAATTTTGGATGATATTTTATCAGCTTCTCCCAACTACTTCTATGGGAAATGAATAGGGGCAATAAATGAGAATTCAAATTTTGATCTTAGGGTTTAAAAGGTTAAAAAACCTCATTGGAGGAGAAATTTCATACGAGTCCCTTTTAGAGGAAAGGATTAAACAAAAACTAGTGAAAGAAAAAACCTAGACTTCCGCAAGAATTCGGGGCAAGAACTGGCAAGGATGAAATATCGAGTATGGGTGGTCTCACCGAATCAAGGGCAAACACAACATTTTCTAGTGAATTGTGACTAACAGAAGTGTTTTCGAATGATGTCAGAAATAGTGAAAGAATGCCAATAAACATACCAAACAAGATTTGTCAGGCAAATCGAACATTGTTGGTTTATTTACGGGAGCAAAAGGAGAAATTCTTTGCGCCTGCCATTTCTTTCATTTTTTCGACGTTATCATTTGAGGTTTTCTTTGAGTCAACTTCGAAGATCTGTGACGTAGGCTAATTTTTGGGAGCAGATGTTTCCCGTTGCCTAAGTCATTCCCGCTCTTAGCTAAAGTAGAACGGCCCAGAAAAACTCTCCTCACAGGGTATTTGTTTTGCCGTTGGTATGAAACCTTACGTACAATTTTTGGACATAATTGACGAAACTTTTGAGTCTCCCCATCCCCACCCCCCAATAAAAAACATCGAGGAAGGAAGGAAGTTGCGCGTTTGGCGCGTCTTCGCGGATTAATCCATTATTTTAGAGGTGAGAAGGGGGGGTTGCTCTTTATTGCAGATTCCCCTCGAACATGTAAAGCACAGAAGTTTGACTGATCACATGCAAGTTTGTAGGGCATTTGGTATAACCCACGATCATTTAATTTCAGTTAAGTTTCAAAAAGGAGCATTTTCTAAATGTGACACTGTGAGAAGTTCACTTGTGGGATTCCAACACTATGTGAAACCACTAATATCTTTATGTTTTGATATATCTTTCATATATGGGCTCAATAGAATTGAACTTGACCTTGTATCACATTACGGCCGCGTAAGTTAAAATCAAAATACTGCAGTCCTGAATTAGCTAGCAAGTTTAACAAGAAGAAACAAATCCTAACTGTTACGTCATCCTTCGACTATCAATTAGCACCAGGAGCAATTGGATTATACACAAGCACGTAGTTTCCGCCATGAGACATGCAATAATTTTTGATTGCACACCTTCAAGTCTGACTCATTAAGTCTGAGAGACAAGTCAAGGAAAAGAGACAAACGTGACAGTAGTGGTCTAGAATTCTTTCAGGAGCGATCAAACAAATTTTAAGATAGAAATCATTAATCAGAGAATCAAATTTCACAAGTGCCCGTCAGTGGCAGGGCAATACCTCTTCCCCTATACCCAGTACACTCGGAATTTTTTAGCTTTCAAGCCCAGAAATATAGACATCTGCTGAAACGCTGCATTTCAAAAAGATTATATAGTCGCATCGAAACAAAACGTATCCAATATGAAAAACCCTCGTTTTTCCTTTTTGGCCTTCACAGTGATTTTCTTACGTAATGATTGTACTCGGGAATGCCCGCAGGGGAATGCCCGGGTGGGGATTTGCCCGGAAATTGTGATGACTGCTGTTTAAGATTTTTTTAAATTTTTTTTTTCTTGTTTTTTTTTCAAATGTATTGCGACTCACGACGTAAATAAACTGCTACCCGAAATGAAACCTCTAAGTACATAATTCAGTATGGCTAGCTTACGAATACAGCCGATCCTCATCGCCTCTCGTCCAAACATTACCCGAAGGGGAGTGATGTGAGGTGGCTGGATTTGTAGGCTAAATAATGGCGTGATCTAGGTATAATTTTGAGCCGAGAAAAAAATAATTTTGTCATTCAGTTCCTAGTCAAAAGGTGATCCGTTCTTGAATATGTACTGCGGAAAACTCAAAGGGATAAGTTGTGTCGTGACTACAGTTTTTCTTAAAAATAAAATATTCTAGTTTCGTCACCAGAGAAAGTAATGAAGACAAGGATGCTAATTCCCTTTGCACATGGTCTAGACTAAACGAAGATTGCCTGGGGATTTTTTTCCTTTTCAAATAACAGATATATTTACAGCTATTCAATGTCTGGTGTTACCATGAATCGCGTTAAAAACATAAACATAGCCCTCTAAGGTGGTCGTACAAGGAGCTACTTTTGCCAATCGACAAAAATAATCTTTCTATCACAAATAAAAACATGTTATTCGTGATTCATCATGAGTGCTGTTATAAGGTAGAGATCAGATTCAAGTGGAAAACGTGCGGTCGTTTCGCGAAATATAACACCGTCCACTAAAGCTACACTTTCCTCAGGCAAAATTTTTTTGCTGAAATGTTTCGCGGTCAGTTTTCGTTTTTACACTTCCCAAGGATAAAACCACGCCAAAATCTATTACCCTTGACCTAGAAATGAAGGCACGAAGTGAGACAAGGGTCCTTTGTCACTTCAAACCATTTTTTTTACATAAAATGTATTAATAACTCCGGAAATGCTTTGACCACGCACAGCTGTGCGAATCCGCTGAACGACCACCTGATTTAAAGGCCAAATTGCGGAGTTTTAGGAGAAAAAAACCTCGTTTTGCATCCTTTCCAGTCTTAGCTCTTAGTATGAAGACGGGAAATTAAGTACGAGAAAAGAATGAGGATTGGAAGAAAAGATTTATTGAAAGCTTAATGAAACAGGCTACTCGGTTTGAAGAGCATGCAATGCTTCAAAATTTAATTTCTTCCAGAAAACAGGATCGAAAACAAAGCTCTTTTGAAGGATATTATGTTGCACTAGTCCATGTAAGAGGACTAAAATTCTTCCTTTATCTGCCAAATAGACAAATCAAACTTCGACCCTCTAGCGAGACTTTGGACCGTGCTGTTCTTTTTTTGGGACACAACCCGCAGTTATTTCTTTCTTGCCCTGTCCCAACGAAAGCAATCTGTTTTGAAAACGAACCAGACCCTACGGGGAAAGGAAAGTGAAGCTAGAAAAAAAACGTGACAGTTGGGATCAATAACATTGTGGCAATACAAGCACTTTAGTGAACAAATATAATATAATCCTTACTGACCAATGACCTGACATGCAACAAAACTCGAAAAAGCAAATCTTATGTCACGGTATGCGGTTTTTACTCTCAAAAAAAAGCGAAACCACAAAAACTTACGCATTAGACCGGCAGCTTTTTAGGTCCAGTCGCTAGTATATTCTCTCGCAAACAGAATTTAAGAACAGGAGTAAAAACAAACCACATTCATTGAACTTTGGAATTAAGGGTTGTTTGTGGCGCACTAATAATTGATTTTTGTTTACACGAGCATTATGTGTATCAGATGAATTTTCACAAGATCGTTCTTTTGATTACATTGTTAAGGAATACAACAGAATGTTGAATGTTTTAGGACGTTTGTACCACGAAACACTTTTAAGAACTTGCCTGGTTGTGTAGGATTGTTGGGGGATTGCGTGGAGGACTACCCGGGGGATGATTATGGGCGTGGGAATGGGTACAGCAAATCAAGAGATTACACAACTTAAAATCCGCTATTTTAAGGACGTTTTTCTCGACATCCTGTACTTCCTCGCATAGAACATCCCGTAACATTTTTTTTGCTTTCCTCATGAGAAAATTTTCCGTAGAGCCGAATTTGAACTTTGGACTATAGAGCGTCAAGAAATAGGATTTTTGTTTACGTTCGTATCATCAGCTGGCATTGTGACATTCCAAGATAGATTAAATGAGTACGTCTTTCCTGTATGTTGGGATGTAATAAGGGTTTTCCGGAAAGGGGTCAAAGAGGTCAGTGGAATTAAGGGGTAAGAAGGAGGCGGAGGATGGGTTTGAACAAACAGTTGCGTACGGTTGTTCGCAAAAGTCAAAAGTCAGTTACTACTAGAAAACTATAAAAAAAAACAGTGAAGGATTTTCAACATCAAGTTAAAATTTATAACATACATACAATACAAATATAGGTATTGAAAAGTTAAATGTATCTCCCGCTTTCCCCCCCACCCCCCACTCCACCCTCAATAAAAACGAGTGATTCTATGCACCGAGTTTTTTTCGTTTTTTCTGGTTTGGTAACTAATTCGTTAATTAGGACAGTTTGCCCGGCGAGGCAAATGATTCACAACATTTAACTGAATTGCGCGCAGATAATGCCACTATAAATAACCATATGACAGGCACGAGGTAAGCCACTCTTAAAACGATTTGTTCCCAAAACAATTCCCAAAACTCCTGAAGATCTTAGAAGTTGTGATCACTGCAGTCTAAATTCAGTTGCAAATGAAATGCACGTATTATTTCACTGTGACCTATATGATGATTTGAGAAGGACTCTTTTCAGTACACCAACGAGCGAAATACAGTACATCATTAAGTTACAAATTATAACAACCATGATTAAGTCTGTTTTCTTTTCAACAATACAGATTCGCACATCAGCAGGCTAACTTCTAATTTCGTTTTTCAAGCATTTGAAAGACGAGAGAAACATAATAATAATTAATTATACCATTCAACTATATCTGTATTTCTTTAAATTTATCTGTTTATTACTGTATTTCAATCGGTAACATCATGTATACCAATGGTAATACTGAACAAACTTGTTGTTGTTGTTCATTCTCAACCAGCCCTTTGCGAAGTCTAAATAAACCGCCAGCTTTAGAATTCATTTGGTTAGCCTTCTGGGGACTTATAAGTACATAACCCAAAGAGTAATAGTAGTTTACTGGAAAGAGGTCAAAGCATTATATATGGGGTGGTCTTACTATGGGCAGCTCCTATTATGGCTTGAATAGAAAAAGAAAACAACTTGAATCCGGGTAAACATACTAGTCGTTTAACACGCCAAAATAAGTACTCGAGGGAGTCCATAACTAGTTTATCTTACCTTCAAGACATGCTGACATGGTTCAACAGCCTTGATGACACATCTTGCGCGAATTTTCAGCCCGGAGCGAGCTGTTGATGCGCCTTGAATACTGCTTATTGTTTCTCCTTCATAGTTGTAGGGAAACTCTTTTTCATGGTGAAATCTATCTAACCCTGGAAGAGACATAACAAGACAAGAACTTAGGCCCACAAGTAAATAGAATGAAAGTCAGGCGGGGGGGAAGGTTGCACAACACAAGATTGTTCCCAAAACATTTCCTTCCTTGAAGTATTAGGAATTCTTTTATTGTTTTTTAGCGAATATAGATCACTTTTTGTTTTCCGAAATATTTTTCAGTTTTTTTTTTAAAAGTAAAATGGCTTTTGTTACCCCCTATAAAACAAAAAACAGGAAGTGTTCACACTGTCACACTAGCCACGTGCTCCGTGACGACTTAACATCGTCGCGCGCGTGTGAGCTACACTATATCTAACCAATTGAATTAACAGAACAGGGGTCATACAGTGCCCTAAGTTGTCAACAGGTCCCTGGGAAACAACATTGGAGACGAGTGATTTCCGGTATTCGTTCAGGCGGCCGGACATTACAAAGCGATTTCTTCGAACTCGTGACTTCAACTAGAAGTAATTATTGTGCAACAAATACGACGGCTTTTCCGCCTTGAAGTTAAAANCCCCCTCCTTCACTCCGCTCAGAAAAATTTCTTGCAGTAAATTATTTCGCTCGATGCATCGAGCAAAACGTTTGCTGATGACGATGGGAGCGAATTTCCTTTAAAAAAGTCTAAAACAAGTGAAGGTTTCCTTTTCTCCCATGCCCATATGATTTAAGATTAGAACAATAAAGACCGCGACACTGTACTTACGTTTGTCACATCGATGCGGTTTCCCCTTGTCGTAAGACAAAGGAGCTGAAAGTAAGGAAAATTCAGTGTAAGTAATAAAGCAATAAGCGCGACTTAACAGAAAAAAGTAGATTGTGACATAATCAGCAATGAAGCAAATGTAACGATGAAGATTACACCAAGATATTACAAACTAAGCAAAAAAATATACACTCGGCATTCGCTCTTCGTCGTTTTAAAATTTTTGAATACACCCGGCAAAATCTACGTAGAAAGTGATTTCCAGCGGAAGCCGGGTGCCAAAGGAAAATATTCACCGCCATGCAGTATCAATGGCGAATTCCACACATTCGAGGTTTGCAAAGAAAGAATTTCTTATGTAACAAGGAATTGAAGGATTTCAGTACATTAAAAACGGCTTTATTTGTCGTCAATCGAAAAGTTAACAAGCAGAAGTTTATGTCACTCTGATGACAATCCAACTGTACCATATTTGATGCCGCAAGCGATTAAATACCCGGGGAAATCAGGCAAATAACGATTTGCTTTGCAGGTCCGAGTTTTTAACAAATTGTTCAGAAATGTGTAACGTTTTATGCTCTTGTCAGGGTGAAGAGGACAGCGTCCAACAGACTTAGGCTACCATAACCGAATAGTCGAAGCAACAGAATTTTTTATGGCAGAATGTGTCGCCATGCATCGCGTCGTATCAAAAGGGTATTTCTAAACTGTCAATAACAAATCTAAAGTCACAGCGTTTATAAGCAGCAATTTGTTTTAAAAAGGGATTTAAATTGAGAAAAAAGAGAATACGTACCCGCAATTGCTCCAGTGGCCAACAACACGAATATTAAAGATCTCATATCGCGTTGAGGATCCAAGGGGCAACTAGAAAAGATGCAAGAGAGAGGATCGTTTTCTATCAAATTGGGTAGGCCACTCCCTAGCGCCCCTGAGAGAACAAAGGGTCACAAATAATCGAGATAAACAGGCTGGGATGACTGACAGCTGATGAAAGAAATAAGAAAATGGACTAATCAGAGCTCAGCTTAGATAGACATACGTATACTGTCGAATAACAGGTCGTGATATATTTACCAAAAAAAGCTTTTCTTTTACAGACTAGCCAATAAACGTGGTTTGCTTAAAAACCGGATTGACATACATCTGTCATTTTCAAGGGTCCAAAAGGACAAAATAGTGCGTTACGCGCGCTAAAGGCACGGTACCGTCTAATTATTTGCTGAGGATGCAAATGGCCAACATGCAAACGTTGTTGCGCCACGAAAGCTAATGTAACACTGTTTTGCCCTGCATACTTGTTTCGAAAGGGAAAAAATACTCCATATTGTTAAAAAAGTTTAATAGAAGCTGTATTTTCAGAATTTTGCGGAGTGGTACAAAGATCATTGAGACTAGACGTGAAAGCTAATATATATCGTTACCTTGCGGCAAAATCAAGGGAATAAAATGCTGCGAGGTTAACTGTCAATAGGCATTAGAGTGTTTAAGTTGACCTCAGTGGAGTAACAAGAGCCTTGCACACATACGGTAAAATAACACACTCTGCTCTCCACATGATTAAAACCTCTCTTTTGGTTTGGAATTGACGTTTCAAAGCCTTCTACTTGTCTAAACAGGCATCTTAGTTTTATCTGTCTTTCTGGAAAAGCTAGTGAAAAGGATGTACTCTCCAAATTTAGAGCAATGTTTCTGAAACAGAAACTTCACGTGAGATGAAAACAGCGCCCTGCTATCTTTTCCAGCAAAGATTCAAAACAGCGACTACCCGCAGTGCTGCTTAAACACGATTTCTTCTGATTGAGCCAGGAGGGGTACTTCCACACTCTCTTCCGCAGAGTTACATTGCACAAGATCAGTAAAGCTACATTAAAAATATCAATATGAGAGTTGTATCCGCAAGATGGAAAAGAAAACTTTCGAGCACAATAAAAAGCTACCTTTAAACACGACGCTCATAAAAAATAGGGTTAATTCTGAAAGAAGCAGGGTACCCTTGTTATCTTGAATTTTCATCCCCCGAAACTGTCCCCTTTATTGAGTTAATTCACCCTTTCCTGCATAAAATTTTACAGTTGATGAAAGCATTCACTTCAAACGACAAAGACCAGAAAGTATTTTCAATTTTTGTGCGTGTTCGCAGCCGATAAACATCAAACTTTTGAGCACGCTCGGGTCATGATAAAACTAATAAACGGACTCGGAGTCTCAGAGGGCGCTCTTTAGAAGAGAAGTTTTGTTCAGCTATACATGAGCTATAACTGAGTTTTTCTTCGTCAAGGCTTCCTGGCTTTCTCGTGGGACTTGTTTATGTTAACATTTGTACAATTTGAATAAAACGATTTCCCTCAAAATTGTGTTCAAATGAACCAGAAAAATGTAAAGATTTCTCTTTTTGCCGGAACTTTAATATTATGGGATCTGTTCCGTAATGATAGCCTGGCTCAGACATGATTACAGAGAAAAATTTAATGAATTGAATTATTTCCATATATAGCGCATGGAACTAAAGACATGATGAATGCCGAGTATATCACTGAAAGAAAGAGACTACGAGCTATGAGCGCCAAATCCCGGAAACTCAACTTGGCTAGCTTACTTTCGCCAATTTCCATTTTGGTCCCATCTTCTTATACCGTAACTTCAAAACACTGTACTCGTTTTTTTTTATTTTCCGCCCGTTGAACCGGTAATATCACACAAGTCCGCATCGGTTTGATCCGGAGTCAAAAACCTGCGCCATGCAGGAAATGTCCCTTTGACCGATGTTTCGTCTCCAGGGGATATTGTATAAGGTATGATCACGAAAATGGTTTATAGCATTGTCATGTTCTCGAGGTTCTTCCTTAAAAGTCTGCAGGTCTGTGAAATTTCTTAAGTGTCATGCTCAGGTCTTATGCAGCACTTTCCTGTTCACAAGGTTTATCGGTTGTGCTCACAAGCGACATGGCTGGCTTGTAACAGCGACATAGGACAGTAATCGCGACAAAAGACACAAAGATAGGTTGAAACTGCGACAATGACAGAGAAAAGCGCAAATACAATATTAAAATACCGACAATTACATGTCTTCCTCCTCAAAACAGTGTCAATACGCGAAACGACAGGTTTTGAAATTCAGACTAGGGTCATTAAGGGTCTAAAAAAGGGAATCCGTAAAAATATCACAATTCTATTCAGATAGAACTGGTTGTCTTAAAGAAAAGAAAGTTATTTCATGCATTATATAGGCTTATTTACTGACGGACTTGTTTTTAATCATTTATATGAGCAGGCGTTTTGGCTAAGGTAGTGTTTTTAGTGTCCATCTAGGATCATGTTGTTTATAGTTTTCGTATCTTCTAAGCATTGCAGTTTTCTCTTAAAATTTGTTATATTTACGGCTCACTGAAAGAACATTTTTAATTTAGTGATACCGTAAATAAAGCTTGACTGACTTCGCCTTGCCTCAATTTCTAGAAATTTCGATAAAAGGGGCATGCAAGATCGATCAGGAAAAGAAGCGTTATGGATGTGAGATAAGGGGTGGCCCAAGTTCCTGTTGTTCGGTTCAGGAGTTTGAGGCCAGATCCCGGATGTCAGATATTCGCTCGTGTTAATCTCTTCGGAAAAACAGGCGGTAAGGAACGAGGAGAGAGGGGCTGTATTCTTAGGTATTTTTATAAACGTTGTTAAGAGAAAAAAATGAATGATAAAAATGCACAGTGGTGGAACCCTAGGGGTAGGGGGCTTCTCTGAAGAGTTCCATCCAGGGAGGCTCCGCCCGGGGCGTCAAAACAATTGTAACTCCCCTGCTCTTTCAACTTTGACTCTCCTTTGATATTTTTAACGCCCAACCTGAAGTATCCATCCATCCTGAGAACTATCCATCGAAAGTAGCTCATCCATTCTTTCAACTTCTTTTACTATTTCGAGTAGTGACTAGAGATTTTGTCGGAAGCACGAGGTTATTCCTTGCTCAGTTTCTTTCAGTTCTCTCCAGTGCACATAAACTATCTTAAATAGTCTATGGCAGAGTCGCAATCAATATAAGGAATAGAGAAAATTATTTGAGGGGTATGTATATTGTGGTGGATTTTTCCCTTGTTTTGTCTTAAAATGGCCGCTTATTTTCTTTGAAATACCACACTGGATAAACTATAGGTAATTCCCATTAGACTGATTACAGCAACGTGAACAGACTTGTAGAGCTTAGGATACACGCGCACAGCATGTTTCCTAGTCAGCCAGTTTTTATCTCAATGTGAAGCCCTCATACCTGGCGAAATCGGAGATTAAGAATGTGAACTATTTTTACACAGTACAAGGCTATCAAATAAAAAACTGCTTCTTTCATATAATTTCTACAATAGTTGAAAGAACACGTGCGAATTTCAAGGTCACGGATACTAATATGTTTATTTTAGTTCTCTATTTCTGCTATATATATCAGCAACACTAGGTGACTGAGGAGGCATATGATATACGGTCTTAACGTTTGAGTCTAAGGAAATCCTATAATGGGACGATTGAAAAAATAAAACCTTTTCAGCTGTTCTTGCACATGTTGCTGTTTATTTCGAACGTAGTCGGTTCAACTTTTGACTTTGGACGAATTCATCATTCAAACGAAGCGGCTTCTTCAGCTGTACCTACACTTCGGAGTGCTGTTTATTTAGAATGTAGTTCTAACTCTATGATTCTGAGCGAAATCATTCAAACGAAAACTCTTCAATTCTTCAACTGTTCTTACATATCGTGCTATTTATTTGTTTATTTATTTAGAATGAGTCTAACTTTTAAGACTGTCGACGAAATCCGGTGTTGCCACTATACAAATTAATCCTCTTGGAGAGCACTTTTTCCTGGTCTTGTTTGTTTTTCAGTATTTTGCAAAATTAGCCTTCACATTTTCCTTTTTTTGGCACACTTTGAGAATAATAAGTTCAGTTACAAAGCCTTCCTGTAATGTTCCTTGCGTGTTAAAGCGACTTGCCACAGCCCAGCGTTTCAGTTTCACCTCTCTAAGGGTCATATGCCACTGATATGCAGTATCAACGAGAATGAACCATGAAAGTACTGGCTCCACTCACCACCACAAAATGGCCTGTGAAAAGCAAGAGAGAGATTAGTTCATTCCCCCAGGAGTGTGACCAAGTCTGTGATTAATAGACCACTTTCGATATATTAAACTGCAGCATGATGGCTACTGTAGTCTTAGCCGGACACAAACAAAGAAATTGAATGTTTATTCATTTTCAACACTCAACACTCAACACTTGCTATCAAGCTGTATTTTAATATATCGATGTGGCCTATGATTCTTCCCAAAGAACTTTGTAAATTCGAAAATATCGGCCTGGCATGGTTTCTTCAAAATTTAGTCCAGTCGTTTCAGCCGATATTTTTATCTTGCATTATCTATTCGTAACTTTTCGAAAGACCAGCCCACCATGACAATTTCTATGGATATAAACCCTTGGGTTTTTAAGAAAGACACTAAAAGGATTCAGTTACTATGCCCCTTCTTCTGCTAAAAATATAGCCTCGATAAACTCAGTTGAAGCTGAAAAAGTTGCTTTTCATGGACAACGGGATATAGCCTTAGAACAACACTTTCTAATTTAAGGCTCAAGCACTTACAACCCAGATAAGCCGGGCGCGGTACGGTAGCTCTAATCCCTCCACTTTTACCGTATTTTTCACACTATGTAAAAACGTATCTTGCTGATAATGAATCACGGTCAACAGCGAAATATTGGAGTAACTGAACTTGCAATGTTCTTGAGTAAACGATGAAATAAAAGTTTTTTTTACTATAGGTTATGCTTTAATTTTTGGTTCCCTATTTTAAGAAATTCACTTCATGTTTTTCCAAAGACCGAACAACTGTGGAATGCCATTTTTGTTGCATTGGAGCATTTGATACAACTTTTGTGGTAAGTAAGCG